AAAAAATAAAAATAAAATGTTAAAAAAAAACCCCAAGCATTCCAGTGATTAATGCATGTTAAAGTTAGGAGAGTCTCTTAAATTGCAGACTAGGTATTAGAAAACAGATATATTTAATTCTCAAGCTTATGCCTCTAGAACAGTTTGACTAATGTGTTAGAATTATCAGTAATTAAGAGTGTGAAACTATCGTTGTTCTTTTATGGGAAAAAACCTTTCTCTTTCATTCTTTGAGCAGTAACTATGCAGAGTAGATTAATGTTTGCAATTAAGAAAAGATGTTTTCCTTCATTGTTACTTTATCACTTGCTGCAGCTGGGCAAGCTGAGAAGGAATTTAGATGACACTGCTGCTGCAGCTCACTAAAGATGGCCTTGTGCTGTGACTTGTGGGTGTGTGTAATCCAGCAGTACTGAGAGACCCTCCATAGCTCTGTGTCATGGTTGGAAACCACTGTTTCTGCCTGGGCCCTTTGGAGACTGCACATAAGGACTGCTCATTGTTAATTTTTTTCCAAATTTCCCTTTGGAAAGGGTTTGGATAGTTTTAATGACAGAGGAAAGGCAATTGATGGCTTTAGCTATTAGGGAATAAGAAAACTGGTAACTTCGTTTCTCACTTTATCAAATCCTAATTATTGATAATTTTTTCTAATATATTAGTCAAATTTTCAAAAGGCATAGGCTTTAGAATTAAATATATTTGTGTTTTAATATGTAGTCTGCCATGTATATACTCTCAAACTTTAGCATGGAACAGAATCACCTGGAGCGCTTGTTAAAACATTGCTGGATTCTGTTTCCATAGCTCAGATTCAGATAGTTTCCTCAAAACTACCAAGTGTGTGGAGCTGGGGATTTAGCTCAGCAGCACAGCACCTGCCTGGCAAGCACGAGGCCCTGAGTTCATCCCCGGTACCCAAAAAACCCAAACAACAACAAAGAAAAGGTACCAAGTGCATCATCTATGTGGGAATTATCTTTATGATGTAGACTACTACTAAATCTTGGGATAATTAGTAATCATTCAGAACTAACAACTGGAAGTTGGTGTGATATGTTCAACTCCCTGTACTTAAGATGTGCAGAGAGTAGGTGACATCAGATAGTGCTAGCCAAGGGGATCCATGGCAGTGAGTCTTTCCAGGCAACGTGGCGCTCTGGTAGGCCAAAGATTTAAGATCAGGAAAACCGGCAGTGGCGGTCCGCAAGCACCATGAGTCATGGAGATAAGACTCAGAAGCTAGTCAAAGTGTGGTGTTATAAGTAGGTGTTTGAGATACAGGCAGTCCAGATATAGAGTTCAGAAAGCTAGCTAGCGTAAACCAGGACCCAAATAAAGGATTTGAGCAATTAATGAAAATGAAAAAAGCTCATTTAATGCCATGACATAGCAATGAGGGAGGAAGAATTAATTCTCAGCCCTACCTAGAGGCTGTGAGAGGTCAGAATCCCACATACTTTCTACCCAAGACTAGATGTGATCTCCACTAGGAAAAAAGATGCAGTGTCAAGTGAACAGATACCTTATTCTCCTGATAAACCCATTCATGTCCCCTTTCTTTCTTATATTCTAGTGACTGAAAAATTCTACGAGAGTGAATCTTGCACAGACAGTGAAGAGGAGTTTAAGACAAAGACATCCTCTGGACACAGATCCCCTGCCATGACTGTGAAAAAAGAGCCCAAAGAGGAACGAAAGAGTCTCAAGAAAGGGGCTGCTGCTCTGGGCAAAGCCAACAGACAAGTGTCCATTACTGGCTTCTTCCAGAGGAAATAAACTGCCACCTCTGGTAGGTCAGAGACTTAGAGTGGTCAAAGGAAAGGCCAAGAAGTATAGACTCTCACTTACTGTGTAAGCCCGTCTGTCATCTAGCTAATTGCCTCAACTGCATCAAGAAACTGTTCTATCCTGTGAAGTTTATACTACTACAGTTTTTACTCTAAGTCACCTGGAAACAGAAGGCAAAAGAATATTTAAAAAGCTGTTACCTTCTTAATGACATTTTAAAAGCACAAACTTAGAAGAATTCACTACAGAATTAAATTTGAACAAGTTCAGAATTACCCGCTGTGCCCTACTTACCCTTTGCCTTGACCCTCTTACCGTAGCTCAGGAAGATTCTGTCAGGTTCCTCTGTGTTCTGTGAACTTATATGGATGTTTTTATCCCTGAATTCTACTGGATATGTTTGCTGTCCCCAACCTCCTTTCCCTACTGTGATACTTCTGTCCCTTAGTCCCATAAAGCTGTTTTTTGTAAATCTTTTAAATCTTGGTTGAACTAAAAGGTAAAACAAAAATCTTCGCATAATCCTCTTTCTCCATTATAGAATACACCGACACCTGGCTGGAGACCAGGACATGGCTTATGTTTTGCCCCTTTCACAAAATCTCTAGAACTTTGCTTGCTATTAGTAGTTAGGGACAACCTCAGGCAAAGCACAAATAGAAATTTAATGATGTATCCAGCTTCACCAGAAATTACTTAGAGTCAGCATGGATGATAGAGGAGCTGTCATGTTGCTGACAGGAGGAGTTATATACTATGGCATTGTGGTTTCCTGCTGCCCTACTGTCAGTACCCGAGAGTGAAAGCTGTACAGTGAGATAAAGATTAAAAAGTGTTTCTACAAGGCTGGGGATTTAGCTCAGTGGCACTGCGCCTGCCTCACAAGTCCAAGGTCCTGAGTTCAATCCCTGGTACGAAAAACAAAAAAGTGTTTCTACATGCATTGTACAACATTATAGAGAATTTCTCCCTCTCAAGGAAATGAGATGTTCAGAAACAGCAGTTTCTAAGGAAGGTAATTAATGAAGAACTTGGGGCACATATTTATACACAGATGTTGCTCCTTTGTATTTTCAACTCCTCATCTGCCTAACAGTACAAGTATCCCAAGAAGAAATGGAGAGGCTGAGTGATTAGTAGGTCGAAACAGTACGTACATTTTCCTTAGTACATACTTGTGGAAAATCATTTATTCTGATAACTTTCAAGCAACTCCCATTACGGCTGAACAGGCAGATCAGTGCGTGGAGGTGGTGTGGCAGTGAGCTTGCACAGTGAGCTCTGGGGAAGGGAACACAGGCTCAACTGCTGACGTAACTCACCCATAGCAGATAAAGGATGTCTGACCCACTTCTTCCGCCTCAGCCTGGTGTATGTCATAAGTGATGCAGTCGGGTGTCTACTGTTGAAGGTTAGGACTGTAACTGACTTTGGGATTCAAACAAGCTTCTTTAGCAACCGAGTATGGACTTCATTAAAAGACCAGAGGCTTGGTCCTGGCATTATGTCTAGGATTGAGAAGGCAGAGGTTTTGTGTAGCAAGCTGAGTAAAGGTTGACATACTCCAAAACCCTTTCTATTTAAAATGAAAAAAGAGTGGAAAGCCTGGACTTAAAGCTTGACAAAAAACTTCTGGAGAAGAATCCTTTTTAAATGGTTATTTTTGTCATTGCCTCTAGACATTTTTTTCTAAATAGGAATGGAAAATTAAAAAGCAACAATCCAGTCTTTTTTTTAAAAAAATTATTATGCTAGGATCGCTAATAAAACTGAATTTGAATTGGAAAAATCTGGTGCGAGTTGGAATTCCAACTCTGAAGGGAAAATGCAAGTCCTGTGATCTCTGCCATCATGCTTCCTAACTCTGAGCTGTCTATGAGGCTTAGTGAGTATTGAGTGGTGACTTTTTTTTTATACAGGACTGTACCATGTTATCCACATGACTTAAATAAATTTGAGTTGTTTTAAAGTGATGCTTCAAACCGAATGTCTGATGAGTCTTATTTGACAGGCCAGCAGCAGTGTGTGCAATCATCTCAATTCTGAACGGGAACAAGGCTGCTTTTCAGTTTATATTGCTAGAACTGCATACCCATAGTCTGCGATGGACAAGATATTTGCTGCCTTCATTTTTTTCAGTCCTATGGGAAATCTTAGTTCCAGCCAACCTCGTTTTTTAGTTCATTTAAAAGAAAATCTAGTCCTGATCTTGCACATTGTATTAGTTTAGCTTCATCACTTGCTAGCTTTGTGACCTTAGGAAATTTCTGAGACTCAGGTCCTTTAACAAAAAAGAACTAAAATGAGCTACTATCGGTTGTCAAAACTGAAGTAATGTATGTGTAGCATAAATTTGGTACATTGTGGCAGGCACATAGTTGCTGTATAGATGTTAGCTTCCTTTCTGATGTCATAAATGGTACAGTCACCCGCCAGCTTCCTGGAATATTACCAAGGATATGACCCCAAGTGATATGCTCACAGAGACATCCTGGCTGGTCAAAAGGGAAAGGTAGTTATTTTATAAAAGATTTTAAAGAGTGGGATTTTTAATTGAAAGATTTGTAGATGACAAAATTTACTATTCATTGAAAGACTGCATATCACTATGTACTAGTGCCTGGGCACTAGAGGATATAATAGAAACTGTAAACTTTGTCTCTTGTCCTCAGGATCTAACAGAAGAAATAAGACAATGAAATTATAGTGCCATATATGACTGGAGTGACAGATATGCACAGGCTCCTCCAAGAGTTCCTAGGAGGGTGCGTATCAAAGCAGTCTTCATGGAGGAGTGGAAACCAAGCAAATTCTTAGCACAATAACTAGGATTTCACCAAACAAAGAGGAGTGGAAAGGATATTCCAGGCAGGGAAGCATGGTGGGAAGAGGGAGGGGCTGTAGAATTTGAAAATAGGGAGAGAAATGTATGAGAAGTGAAGTTTAGGTCCTAGTGAGTTTAGATTAGACCTGTGGGTAAGGAGGCCAAGTGAGAAATTTTAAGCACACTTAGTGCTTAAGACACATTTAGAAATTGATTCTCAGTTAAGAGTGACAGCTGGCAATTTACTGTGATTTTTGTATACTATGATACTGCTTCTTCCCATACATGCACATTGTAACTTAGGGCTAGTACATAGTATTAACGTTCTAGCAGAATAAAAGATAACTGTCATGGTTAAAACAACACTGCTTAGTTCTGGCAAGCAGCATAAGAATTTGCATTCTTTCCCTTCCTCCATTAACTTGGGTTTCTTTAGCAGAATCAATTTTTAAAAAGTGATTTCAAAAGCTGCTAGTTCTCTGACACTCAGAGATACAGGCCTCCACTCACCTCCCTGAAAACACTGAGGGAGTGGGGCAATGAGTGGAAAAGTTCTTTTTCTATCCTTGTTTCTTTAAGAAGGCATTCGTTTTTATACAGGGGAGAGCTGAAGAGAAGGACCTTATAAGGAAACTAAATAGTTTCTTCAGGACATGAGTAGAATGAGTGCCTAATAATGCATTTGCCAGAAACGTACTCTGTGTCAAGACTCGTTTTGGTAAACTTGTCTTCTTTCATTGGTTCCGGGATCTCAGTATGCTGTAATGCAGCTTTTACCACCATGAAACATTCAGGGGCTGCCTCGTTTTGTTGTGAGGAGACAGTATTGCTTTCTGAGTTATTGCCCTGGCAGCTCTGTAAATTAGCCCATGCTGTCACCATGCCCTCTCTGAAGGGCACACTGTACCCAAATGACTACATTTAGAATTGACTCTTGCTACTCCCTGCTGCATGACACTTCTCTCTATTTGTATGTGTGTCCAGCTTTTTGTGTTCTTAAGTGTGGGCCACCCACAGATTGCCACCCAGTCTCCTTAGCCAAAGAAACTTGGTGAGACTTCTGGTCCAATAATTTTCCATTGGATCAGAACCTACCTTAACTCTAGAATTCCCCTTCCATTTCAAACCCTAAATTGTCTGACTCCCTACTCTCCTTTATTTTTCTCTTTTGCCCTTGCCAGACTCCTTGTTTCTTGAGGCCTCTTCTTGGCTCTCTCCACCTTTTTTAATGCTCAAAGTTCGTGGCTAGTCCTCCTTTAGCTTCTCTCTTAGGTCTTTTAGGCTTGCATTCTCCAAGTTCTCCTTCCATATGGCATGTCTTTTCCTGGACTGCTCTTGAAGAATGGAAAAACCACTTTATTTAGTGTCTGCTTTGGATCATTCAAACCCAGAACATTAAGCAGTCGTTGAATGCTAGCTATGTTTAGTCTAGGACAAGATACTTGGGATTGCAAGAATCTGGAAGTTACCATTTTAGAGGACAGGATGTACACACTAAATAACATGATGTAGCAGTTGAAACTGTTTAGATGAGTGGTAGATGAGGGACTTAATTCAGAAAAGAATTGAGATAATCATAATGGGCAAAAGTCAATCCTATGTGAAGAAGAGTGAAAGATCTAAGACAAACTGCTGAGAGAGTAACCATTTGGGTGGATTTTATTTAGCTGTTTGAATTTCACTCATTTATATACTATTTATATACTCACTTTTATTGGTCTTTTTACTAATAAAATTAATAAAAAGACTCCTGATGGGACAGTCATGCATGTACCACTGATGGTTCAAGCCAACTGGCAGCAAGACATGAATTATAGCCGTGTTTTGAACATGTTAAAAGATTGTTTTAAAGCTATAGTGAAATAATGCAAGGGGAGTCCCTAGTATTTTGACACATTAATAGCAGAATAACTCACATTTTTTGAGCATCTACTATGTTCCAAGCACAACTTTTTGAATCCTAGCAATTCAATGAGATGGGTACTTTTATTCCCAATTTGCCCGTGAAGAAACAGGCAGTTTGCTCAGGCTCACAGAACTAGCAAGTAGCAGAGTGAAGATATAGTTTGATAGTTTGATCCCATTCCCCACAGTATGAACCACTGTGTTGTACATGTCTTGGCTATATATTAATTTATACTTTTATAATATCCAATGTTGACTGATGTTCATTTGTGTAAGTGAACGTACTACTAGTTATTCAGACCCCAGGTTGTCAGATTCAAAGGTGATCTTAATGTTTATCTAGGTTAACCACTCATCTGATGTTTGAGTCCTCTCAGGAGTATCCCTACCAAGTAGTGTTGAATCTATAAACAAAAATTCAGGGGCTGGGGATTTAGCTCAGCGGTTTCGCCACCTGCTGCGCAAACGCAAGGACCCGAGTTCGATCCCCGGTACCCCCCCCCCCCAAAATTCTGTTATGTTCAGTACACTATACTTAGTAAATTACTAAGTAGATAAGTAGACTAATGTTAAGAATTTAAAAAGAGACTAGAATAAAATATTATTCTGGTTAATTTTAGACCATCAGGAAACTCTTCTAAATAGAGTGTAGTTTCCTAAGCAGTCCATTTAATTGGTTTCAGTTTAGGTCAAGAACACTGGTTTTTATAAAGTTTATCCAGTTCTTGGCCTTGGCTTTGACTTAACTTTTGTAAGAAAATCAAAAGAAAAGTTGGCTTCTTTTTCTCCCTATTTAAGCTGTGCAGAAGGTTCAGAGGTAGAAAGTGGCCCCAGGGCGCTTGTTGCCCAAGGATTGCACTTGGGTTAGGCCAGGGCCATGTTCTCCATTTTGAATATCAAAACTTTGTTTTCCTGGGATACTTCTTCAAGCTTAAGAGATATGTAAAGATAACAAACTGCATAAAGGTAGTTGCTTTGTAGCTGCTGTCTCAGTCTGTCCTGAGGTGGGGATCCACAGAGAAGGCAGAATCATTTTTCTGCAGACCATAATTCCTGTTAGGATTGTTTCTATTGTCCCTCTTAGGTGTAGTCTACATTTATCTATATGATGGTTTACTCTGTCTTAGTTTTTCCTTATGATAACCTGCAAGGTCTTTCTTGCACACATTTTGAAGAAAGCAAGCCTAAGGAACTGAGCTAGTGTGTCCAATATCTCACAGTAGGGAATGAGACAAAGCTGGAGCCTAGGTCTTTAGACTTGGTATCATGTGACTTTTCTACAGTATAGCAACTCCTCAGGAGAATGTGTGGGCCATTCATAAGTGTGCCCTGAATCCTTTGAATGCTTACTGATTTTCCCAACAAGCATCATATGTGCTGTGGAGGATTTAAGAGACGCACATGACAAGTTCTCTGCCTTCCTAGTACCACTGTTGGAAAGGCAAAACACGTGCATGTTTGTATATTTCACAGACTTTTATTAAAGTTTTAATGTGTGCCCAGCATAGGATACAAACTTGAATCATTTGCCCCTGTGGAATTTACTATCTAGTGGGAGTTGAGACAACAGACAAATAATGTACTACAATAATACTACATTTATAAGAGTGCTTCTGGGCATTCCAGGGAGAAGGAACAGGACCATGAGAAAGCATGGAGTTTTCAGGGAATTATAAGTAAGTGACTCAGTGAGAGATGGAATGGTAGTTAGGCTGAATAACTGGGCAGTGGCCAGATCACAGAGGTCTTTGCTAAGTTGTATAGACTTTGTGCTATAGACAGTAGGAAGAATATTAACATGTCAGATTTGTATATCCAAAAAAATCACCCTTAATTTGAAGAGAGGACTACTGGTATGAAGCCAGAGCCAAACTGTATCTGCATCTTGAGATAGAACAAGCAGAGGAAAATAATTTGAATTTGGATTTTGTTGCATTTTAGGCAGATGTCTCCCTTGATCCCCTTGGATACTCAGGACAGGAGAGTATTAGGAATGACTTCAATGTGGAATGATTAGCCTTTTGCTGGGTCATCTCACGGTTGCAAATCTTCTGGCTTTTGCCTGAGTCCTAGTTAAAGCATGGAGATGGGATTGGTTCCACGGTTCCACTCAGGATTCATGTAGGCCCTTCTCTGACGCACATGCACACACTGATTTAGACCGGGAACTGACTGCATTTCTCTGGAATTCTTGGGGCTAAAATGACCCATCTCACACTGGTCAACTAAATTCATCCCAAGTCATATTTATCA